GTAGGTGCTATTATTGTTGTTGTTGAATGATAGCCTAATGATATTTTTGTGCATCGCATAACTCCGTATATCTCATATTAGCTTACACGCCATAACGGACAGGTAAAACGATCCTCAGTAAATGCAGTAGACAGAATGTCTTGAGAAACCCATTAAATTTGTCATATTATACGTAAGGTAGCTGATTTAAATACTATTGATGTGATATTATTTCATTGCATTATGACGTGTGTAGATTGTCACGTTATCCAATGTGTTACATATAACAGATACCATTATTATTATCAGGGTTCAGAACTTATTGCACTACAATTAGTACTCATGCGTGTATGCAATTAAAATTACCAAGAAGATTCTTTAAAGTGTGAAATTACATGTTTATTTTATTTAATAATAATTACGATAAATAAATTTATGATAAAATACAATTGAAATTATCATACTATTTAATGTTTATTTATTAATAATGCTTAGGTTTCGGGAGTTGGTATTCAAAAATATGCAGCCAAAGTTAGGCAAAAAACGGAATGAAATTGTGTATGAAAATATGCACAATATACACCTAATATTATGATATGAAAATAATTATAAAATTTTTCGAATTTCGCCTTTTTTGTACAAAGTAACAAAACACACAAAAATATGCAGTCAAACTTTTGGTTTTAATTCAAGATTTCACAAGCCAATTTTATACCTTACCTAGAATATTCTTCAACCACCATAGAAAAATATGCAAATACAAGAAGTCCCAAACTCTAATTTATTATTATTACTGATTGCGCGTTGTTTGCATTTGGCGTTATTTATGTATATCAATGTTTCCCCCAGCTTAGAGGGAGTTCAAAATGTTCAGGAGCAGAGTAAGTTTTACTTCAATTAAAAAAAACTTCAAGAATAAATAAAAGTAGCTATCCTAATTTGAAATAATTCACACAATAATTACGTCACAAAATATTTTCTAATAGGGTGTAAAATTATTAAAAATATAATATGCTAAAAAGTTGAGCTAAAGTAAAAAAGTAGGAAACTTCATCGTCTGCTATATATAGCTCAGTGCAGGATATTAAAAGAGGGAAGACTCTCAACACAAGTGTTCAACTTTCATCGCCAAAGAGAAATTATTGTGATGGAGGGACGTCCAAATAATTACGTGCAATTTTCTTTTAGATATTATTATTTTTATCTTTGCAGCAAGTGACTAATAAATGTAGTCTTTAAGTCTTTTGTAGTTTCGAATAATTGCTTGTCGATTAACAATATTCTGACCACTGATAATGACCCTCGTTCCTTCGTCAGTGAATCATACAGTGGTTATACCCCCCACCACTATCCTATAAATCTCCTTATTTAAGCCTTTAGTACAACCACAATTAATTTAAATGTGTTATTAGTAATAACATCTCCCCCCCCCTCTCTGAAACTCTTGGTCATACCACTGGTTTCATAACGTAATATTGAAAATTTATTTTATTGCAGTACCTATACAATCATAATAATAATATGGTCCAGTCAAAAATATTTGTTTAATATTAATATACTATACTGCAGTCTTGTAAAACGTTGACTATAATATTATACGTGTGTCATAGATGAACGCTGTATGATTCGATTTTATGTTGTTTTCCGATTTTTCTTTGAGAATATTTAACATCACAACTTGTAACGTACATTATATTATCATAATACTCAAAATAGTACCTTATAAGCTACCGGACGGTACTTCAGAAGTTCGGAACATTATATGATTATTTATTATGTATTTAACTGTAGTCAGCAGCCTGTAGGATAATAATATCTGTGCAAAAAGTTCAACGATCCTGAGCGAATGACAAATTCAATGGCGTCTCGGTGCTTAATCGATATAATATATATATTATAATATATAGGTAGATGATGGTCCACCGCGATTTCCCGAAGAACATTTTACATAGATATATCTGTATTGATTACACGGAAAAACTATCATCGTATAATACAGTATATACCACCTATATATACTTACCATAATATATTATATAGTAATGAAGATCTATACTCTTTGTGGCGTGAAAGCAAGGCTGTATCTCTACCTAATTTTCAGATGATGACAGGGGTAAAGTGTAGAGTGAGATATGGAATGAGAAGAGAGTATTCGTATGTTAAAATGTATTATTTATAATAATATAAATAATTCCAATAACTTCGTTCAGGATTCTATTCCTTTGACGATTTTTTCTGATAAGTTAAGATGAGAAAACAAAAATAGAAGTGGCTACTATATAACGAGGATCAATCGTATATATGTGTAAATAATATATATATAGGTATTACAATTGGGTTATATTTTACCTATGTAGCACGTTCCGCTCAGTAGTTAAAAAAAAACGAAAATCAAAATTAACGAACTCAGCTAGTAAATAATATAGCACTCACGTCACGGGTCTGTTGGGTACGAGTAACGGTAGTGAGACAAATTGGGCAAAATTTTAAGGAGATCAAAGAAATACGAGAAGGATGATATCAAATCGATAGTTTTCACGCTGTTGTCATATATTTATATCAATTACCAACTGAAACCTAACCTGCACCTATACACACACACACACACACACACACACACACACACACACACACATACATTATAATATAGCCTTACCGCCCTTACCAGACGTAACCACATATACAGAGTGATAAGTAATTTATTCACCTGGCTCCCTCACCAACCTGAGTCCACATAGCTATGACAATAATTTATCAGTTATGGACTTATGGGCATAATGAAAGTATTCGTAAACAAAAATAGCCTTTCGAATTTGGAGTTCAGTATTATAGTTTTCTTATAGTAACAAAGGTTTAAAAACACTCTCGAAATATATTTAAAACATTAATTGGCAATAAAAAAATTAATGGCAATGTATCATAATAATATATTCATATTAAATAGGTAATTAAGAACACATGTATAGTTGTATTCTTCTCAGTTTATCTTTTTCGTTTTAAAACAATTTTAGAAGGGCTTTTAAACAGTTTAATAGGCTCATGTCCCTTATTTTTAACAAATATGTATAGATAATATTTAATTATATTTAAATTTTAAATTATTTATAAATTCAAAAAAGCCCTTGCGGAAACATTATACATGTTTCGTTCTAAAATCTGTGTGATCCAAAAACTTCCAAAAAAAAAATTACACATTTTTCAGAGAATAAAATAATATGAGTTATAAAAATGTATTATTTGATATTTTTGTTTGTGCAGCCCTCCTCCCCCCATAGAACATATTTTATAAATACGCCGCTGCAAGGCCAGATGCTGCGATATTGTTTTCTTTCGGTCACTCCGTTTGTATAACAATAATAATCATTTTACAATAATATCATAATCATCGTTCATTGATAAATATAATATTATTAAGACATATAAGATCCATAGCCCCATAGGTACAATATTGTAGGTACAAATGATCATATTTTATTGTTATAATATTAGGTATATATATATATATAGGTGTATATATATACAAAAGTAGACATCGAATTTATCATTTACTGCAGCGTTGTCCGACATCCCGACGTGAATCGTTCGTATAAAATCGTATACCTAATATAATAATATATCTTATTACCCCTCGAGTAATGATATAAGAACTCAAACGCGTTTCAACGGAAATCGGTCGACATGTTTTATTCGTCGTATTTCCGACCTCGGAATCATCTTAAACGTATTATCTCGAACCCAAATTTCGAACGCAATAACAATATATTATTATGTTTTATTATATTATCAAACACAAGCGGACTGCGTCTTTATAAACTATAGCATTGGTTGCCGACAAATGATTTGAACGAACAAAGCACGATAATAATATAATACATAATTTATTGTATTATCATGTTTTCGGCAAGCGCTTTCGATTTGTCTTGAGCATTATTATATAATATTATAGTATCCATGTAGTATATTGTTATTCATACACCGGCCGAACTCAAAATACGTCGTATTAATATGAATATCATTATGTAATAATAACGATATAATAATCGCTTCCATTTTCCGGTCGTCGACCGTTCTACGAAAACCGCTCAAGTATATAATATACCGACCGTTGTGAATAAAAACTGTTAGAACATAATTTGTTTTTGATCGATAGAAAGATTTCATCTGCATAGTCAATCTAACTTAAACGTGAAGAGTCAGGCGTTGCATGCATTAGTGTTGCAAAGTTGGTTTATGTTTATTTTTACCTCTCTCAAAAAGTTTCATGTAACAACTTTGCTATGTTATAACTTTGCTTGGTTATAACTAACAGCACATCACATACTATAGAACTACCGAGCACCGTCCAACGTCCCAATTATTGTGGTAACTGAGCAAGTATATTATAAATCATTTTCAAATGAAGTGGCAGTAGTTATGATTATGATTTATTGTAGATCGATTGTCGTTTTTCTATGTCTCCGTATGTTAAAAGCAATACTTTATGAGAGTTCGATAAATTAAAAGTATATGGCGTAAAATACGATAATGATTGGGGAAAATAGTGATCACACGTAGTCACGGAGTGGCTTTAAAGCAAAAACACCTATTGGTATATAAAGAAAAATCAAAATCAGAAACAACAAATTGTTAAATTATTAATAACAGCTAAGGACGGTAAGGTATCAAAATTATTTCAATTTGATTATCTAGATGCCTACAATAAGACTGTAATTTAAAAAAAACGTTTATTATAATATAACGACTACCTACTACTTGTTTTTCAACAGTTAGTGTAAAAATTATAAAACCGTTTTGATAAAAACTATACTAAAATGATGCACATACTATTATACTTTATAAGTATAACTTTTTAAGAGGGGACGGATGTTTTGGAAATAAATAAGACTTAAAGGAATAGAAAATGTAAATTAAAAAAGTAGAAGGATTCTATCCACCCCTACTTTTACCACCGCTCAATATTGTTGTTTTAACGCAGCGGTTAACTCGAACAGGTAATAATTGTTGCCATTTGTGTTTCGCAGGTGTTACTCGCAGTGGGCCGAGGCCTGGGACGACCCGAAGCGCCACTGACCGGTTTCGGCGGAGGTGGTGGAGGATTCCCTGGGCTCACGCTGGACAGCTACGCAGCGCCCATCAGTGGCGGCAGTAGCAGTGGGCCGTACCCAAGCGGTGGGCCACCACCACAGTACGGGCCACCGCAGCAAGCGCCCGTCATACACAAGCACGTGTACGTGCACGTTCCACCCCCAGAGCCCACGTACTACGCCCCGAAGAAGCCTGTGCAGCCTCCGCCACCACCGCAAAAGCACTACAAGATCGTGTTCATCAAAGCACCCACACCACCACCACCCACCGTGCCAGACCTCCCACCGATCGCACCGCCAGCCGAACAGAAGACACTCATCTACGTGCTGGTCAAGAAACCGGACGAGGCGCCCGAGATCCACATCCCGACGCCCGCACCCACACAACCGTCCAAACCGGAAGTGTACTTCATCAGATACAAGACCCAGGTGATTATCGATTCGCGCCGTCGTCGTTGTTGTTGTTGTCGTAGTAATATTGATGTTTATGGGGGGGGGGGGGGCGAAAAGTTCTAAATACGATCACCTCTCTGCCCGGCGTGAAACGAAAATTTCATCGCATCTCGTCAAGTACCTATTATACTAAAAGTGGCTTGCACAAGGACCAAATAAAACCAAACGATATGCACCATTCAATTAACTATTACATAGATATTAAAAAATATATTATGGGCGTGCGCCGTGCACAGTTCTGCTCCAATTTTCAGATAAATCCTTATTATCCTTATTATTCACAGATAGAATCTCACGAAGTAGCGGCAATAGATGGCTGTATATTATTATATTACCCCGAAGTCGATTGTTGAAACTGTGATCGATAATAACCACTACCGTTGTATAGGTCATAAACATTTTAACTTTAACATTTTAACCGTTCCGTCATCACGGTATCTAAAATGTTTTTAAAAATCGTTCTCTAGATCCGCTCCGACCATGATTACGCAATAATTGTAAAATTTAAATGGGAGGGCATAAAAAATCCGAGAAGGTTGTGTCCGAACCGCATTTCAGCTGAAAAATATGAGGCTGATTAGTCTATAATATGGGGCGTATAATAATTAATATATTATAATATTATTTCGCTACTCGTCGACACTCAAAAACTTGACAAGTATAAAATTTAAGTTTTTTTTTCAAAATTTTTTATTTTCAGAAACAAGAAGGATACCCCAACTCAGTAGCTTCCGAGTACGGACCACCTGCGAGTCCGTCTCCGTCGATCCCGTCTGACACGTACGGCTCCCCATCACCGTCCTCCGGATATGGAGCGCCCAGCGGTCCTGGATCACTGTACTGACGGGAAAAAAACTATCAATGAAAAAAGGCTAAGACGCCAAGCTATGATACGATATCTACGTTGTCTAATATATATATATATATATATATCATGGTTCAAAAATTAAATCGATTATCATTTATAAAACAAGCAATATCAAATAAAATAAGATTATATAGGTTATGCACGCTGACACACTGCGCAGTTGTACATTTTATTATTATTATTATTATTTTATTAATTATATCCGAACGTAGGACGAGGATAAAGCGTATATTATTATATTTAGTGTTGCCATAAGAAAAATCTTAGAATATGCGAAACGTCCGTTTCAATAATAGGTAATATACATTAAATAATATATAAAAAAAAAACAGATGATCTGCAAAAGACGCCCTATCGAACACTTACATACTATAATAGTAGATACTATACCTCAGCCAATCTAACGACCGACGTGAATATAATATATACCTATAGTACCTAATATACATCGAACAAAATACGATTTATTATTATTAATATTGTGTCCCCTCCACCACCCTCGTACGTTTGCACTTGCCATTTCCACGACATTTTAAAGGACGACTTTATAATTATATTATTATAAGTATTTTCATCTCACCCCCGTGAAAGTCACAACCCCATTCAAAACACGTCGTTGTTTATACATACACAATACACACAACACACATAAATATATAATACTCTATTATAAAACGAATACCTACTAAATCGTCATTATTGTTATTGTTTACTTCGTCCGGGTATTAATTATTCCATTATTATAAAAGGTATATTATCGTAGTATCATATAAACCGTGCAAATTATCGTGTGTGAGTATAATAATAATAGGTCTGCGCGAGTGCGTGACCATCGAGATGTTTTCACTTTCTCTCGGTCTCAGCGTATAGGTAATACCTACCTATTCGGAATTTTAAATTTTCGTAAAATTATTATGTAACTGTATTTTTTCACTCTGGCGGATTCCGTGATACGTCATACGTGTTTGGATGTATACAATTATAACATACGTACAATAAAACACTATTGAATACCTTATACCTATATTATACAATCATATTCCAGTGATATTATAATGTGCTCTGTAAACTGCAACGACGTTGTTAGATAACCAAAACATATAAAACATTTTTTTCATTTTAACTTTTTTGATTACACTCGTATGTATTTGGGCAATCAATACGAAAACGTCGGTCTGTTATAATATGCGTTTATAGCACCTATAACGCCTAACCACGGTTCCACGATATCGAATAAAGAATAAAATAAATACTCGTATACCTACCCATAATATGTTTAATGTTATGTATAAAATAATCACGTCACCTTTACATTATGAATATGTATTAATATATTACTTAGTTGTATAATGTCAAACTGTTATACTATTATTTTTTTACTTTTTATTTTTTTGTACATAATTATATTGTTATTATATATTTTATATTATGTTAGCATGTATATATTATCTTATTGTGTGCATTTGTTTAGTACATTAATATAAACTTCATTACCTACTCTTTATATTAGGAATAGTATTTAATTATTTACCTACAACAGCTGTCCTACTACATATTGCTATACGCCAGTTGACTTTAATGTTTCATAATGGCATAACACATAATAATATAACGATACATTAAGTATTTAAATATATCTACATACCTGAATAATTGTATGAGCCAGTGGCGCCAAAATATATAATATTATTTATCTATGACAATATTATTGTCATAAGTGATTTTAGTAGGTAGAGGGTCATTCTATGTCATTCTATATTTATTTCATGAAAATTGGTTTAATAGACAACATAAAACTATACTTGGTGTATGGTAAAGGTAATATTATAAGAAATAGGTGGGTGCCAAAATGTTATGAAGGGATGTCTAATGTCATAAGTAAAATTTTGGACTTCGGCGCCACTGGTATGAGCTACTATAGATGAATTATCTGGCATCACCAGTGAAGAATCTTTGGTGCATCCATTTACTGCACATCATGCTGCATATACCTACAACGCAGTCGACTCTCGATGATTCGAAGTTGGTAGGACTCTTTTTGAAAAATTTAAAATTACAGAGAATTCAAATTTCTGAGTAGTTCAAAATATCAAGTGGGCAAAAAGACAATTTAAATTACTGAGTTGTGAAAAAAAATGTCTTAAATACGATAATTATTTGATAGTTATCTGAAATAATTACAATTATTATTGTAAGGTAAATTATTAACGATAAGATTATAAGAAATACATTTTGGTGAATTTGTACACAGTACACATAACATTATTGTCGTGTGTTGACGGTTAGTTTTCCATAAAATTAGTAAAATTTTACTATACGAATTACCTAATGTGCTTAATGAATTGTTTCTATTCAAACTACTGTGAGATTTTTAAGGGAACTAGCAATTACTTCGAATTACCGAAGGTTTGCGAATTATCGAGTAGACTGTACATGGGCGTAACTATAGGATTGAATAGTTACATAGGCTAGACTGCTGGAGTCCTAGAAAACCAAAATTCAAAATGACCCCCCATGGCCCATACTCGTCAGTCCGTCACAGCCCACAGGAATTTAGTATTTTAGTGGTCAAATAATTTCACAATAAACTTCCTCATGTGTCGAATTATTATTTTGAATTTGAAGTTTTTGTACGAAGTTTCGATTCATTAACAACAATTTAAAACAGCAACATTCAAGTTTTACTTAAAGGAGCTGGTGTGCACAAATTTGTAATCGTTGCTTGCTGGTAAATAGTCTTACAATAAATAAATGACTCAAAAGGTACCTAAATAATAAAAAAAAATTACAGCGACAACTACATGTACTAATTCATTAAGATTAAGTCGACTTGGAGCAAAATGACACAATTTGCTTCAAGCAATTTTGCTTTCTTAGTGCTTAATTATAATAATTTATGTTTGTTATGATTCAAAATTAATATTTACTAATTACTAATCATGACTAACAGACTAAAATTCGTTCAGTCAATGTTGCTTTACTGATGTGAGGTTACCTATTTACTCGTAAAATATCGGACAATGGCCATCATTATATTATATTATATTAAAGAAGCACACAGCACAAAAAAAAAATTTTCATTAAATTTTTGTTAAATGTCATTTTATTTTAGGCATGGCTATATTAAATGATTTGGTGGAAGTCCAATGTAAAAAAAAATATTACTTTAAGAGATAGCCGCTTGACGTCATTGCAGGGCCCGGCTAATCGCGTAATTGCCTATCTTATATGTGTAAAAGTTCCTCGCTGCACACGTTGATTTACCAATCAAAACATTTTATTTTTGAAATTTAGTATACGTATACATTTGTGATTTTATGTTTTTAAGACGATAAAAGTATCAGAAATTCAATATAACGTTTATTTTTTAAACACAGCTGACATTCCCAACTCCGAAATTACACTGATAGCTACTTCGCCGACGACAGGGCCAATCCTCTCATCACATTCAGATTCCACAACAGCATACCAAAACCTCCAAATACATCTTGATAATATTTCAATATGGTCCATCAAATGGAGAATAAAAATCAATACAGATAAATCTTTTCACTTTAATACCTTGCATATTAATATTTGTTTATTAATAAGTAAATTATTAAAGTACTTACATACATTTTCCTTCTTCCTTAACAGACTTAGGAATGTATTCATATTTCATAGGTGTGGTTAAAAATGCATGTTAATACCTACTTGCTTATTAATAATTTTTAATAAATAATATTTAATACTTGTTCAAGTTAAAAATGCATGTTAATTTTAATTTGAATATAATATTTCTGTACTCTTTATCGATGATTATCAGTGCCCAACACAGATAAAATATAATTATTTTCGTGTGCGTAAAACTAGTTGTACATTTAATATAAACGTGTGCGCAAATGAGTTTTGATTTTTCAGGTAAAGATAATAGATTGAGCGCAAACAAGTTGCAGCCGAATTATTCGGAGTATTTCGATATATAAAAATAAACTTTTGGACAAGTATAATTTATTAAATATTACTTTATTTAAATTTATAGAAAAAGGTCGTTTTTTTATGTACAAAAAATAATTGCAAAAACTTTAAGTTTATGAAATAATTAGTGTCTTAAGTTAAAATTAATATTTAATATCGAATTGTCGTCCATCGTGTGTACCTAGTACCTACTCAGGTATCTCACATTATTATTATTTAATGATATTATTGTCAATAAAGTAATTTATATATAACCTATTTAAGTGGAACCTTGTTTTCAATTTTCAATCCTTAGCTATAAAAGTTGAACATTTTATAAATTTTTAACTACAAAATAATTATTCAATTTTAAATTTGATAAATTTTGTCAAAATTCGATCTTTAAATGCTGATAAAAAAAAATTGTGCCTATGTATTTTTAATATTTTACTACTAATATTATAACAATATATCAGGAGCCTTGTGTTAAATTTGTACACTTTTTGGCCCAACAGATATTTTTTTTTTATATTATTACACAATATTATATAGGTACAATCTGTACAATTATGCACAATTAGCATATTTGATAAGGGTTAAAAATAATACATGAGTACGTGAGTAAGAAGCCACCCATTAGTGGTTATCTATATATTATATTTTTTTTTCTTTTTTTTTTTGGTTTGTTTTAATTTTTGATATTAGTTCCCTAGCAAGTCACGGCACCAGCTCCTATTTAAGCGACTCCTGGGGTTTCCAGGTAATGTTTGCGTGGATAGGTTTTTAATGAGTGGGTTTTGTTGGGTTTGTAGCCGGGCATGAAAGATTTTGTAGAAACGTGTAGTTTCTTCTGTCTTGGTTTTAATTGACACTTGACAGGTCATTATGTATACCTAGTGTAATTCGAAACAAAGGGTGGAGCATTAGTAATTTTCCTAAGAGCAATTTTCTGAAATCGCTGAATTGGAATGTTGGACGCTTTTGCTTTACCCCATAGTTGGAGACCATATGTCCATAGAGGTTTGAGTAATGTTTATATATAAGAACTTTAATTTTTAAATTAGAGTGTTTGTTGTTTGTGAGTAGCGTTTGTAGTCTGCGAAGACGGGCCACGGGCGTTGAATGCAAGTCTTTTTATACGGATATGGCTATTAAAAGTGAGGCGCTTATCCAAGTTTAGTCCTAGATATCTAACTGAGTCAGATATGGGAATAAGTATGTTATGTAAATAGACATTAGGACAAATGAAATGGCATAGAGTAAATGTTGTATGTACAGACTTATTGGGATTTGGTTTAATGCGCCAATCGTTGTACCATTCAGACATTAGGTTGAGATGAGTTTGAAGATTTGCTGAGGCAGTAATAGGGTTTTTGTCAAATGATATGATGGCTTTGTCATCCGCGTAATCGGCTACAGTAGTATTTTGGGAGATAGGCTGATCAGAAGTGTAGATATTAAAAAGAAAGAGAGAGAGAATTCCACCCTGGAGAACTCCAGCTAAGATTTTCTCAATTTTGGATACTGAAGAACCAAACCGGATTTGGAAATGGCGATCGCTTGTATAAGACTTAATTAATAAAAAAGTGGATGTCGCTCTGCTGTACAGTAGGTTACAAGTGGGTCACTGTATAATGGATGCTATTAAATTTAAATTCAATGATACAATATCATTGTATAAGAAAAACGATTCTGAGCGAAGACGGTATATCAGTCTAGGTTTAAGACATATTATACACATATCTATGGTATTAAAAAAAAATTGACCTATAATAAATTCCAAATTAATCATATCACAATATCCATTAGGTACTTATAACACGTTATACATCAATAACAAACCCTGATACTATCATAGATATACAATATAGTCATAGTGTACTTTAGAAGTTTCAAGTACCCACGAATAGTATTATACACTCAAAACAAAATAACTAAAATAGGTATGCTAGGTTTTTTAATATGTAATTTCGTCCCAAATTTGAACTTAAAATGTCTGTAAAAAATAACTGTGCTCGTATATTTTTTAGATTTTTGGCTACAGTACGAACTATTTATGGAATCTTTTTTTTAAACTTTCAATCCTTAGCTACAAAAAACTGAAAAAACTGAACATTTTATAATTTATTAATTACGATGATTGATAATTTTCGAGATTTTGATAAATTTTGTCAAAATGCGATCTTTAAATGCTTATAAAAAAAAATTGTGCCTATGTATTTTTAATATTTTTCAATTGCTATTATAACAATATATCAGGAGCCTTGTATTAATTTTTTACACTTTTTGGCCCAACAGATAAAACTTTATTGATATTTATAGAAAAAAAAAAACTAAAAAAATTGAAAACTGAAAATGTCCGTAAACGGCTCAAAAAGAGTCAAAATATTTTCAAAATTGTATGGTGTATAGGAAATACTAATATAAACATTCAGTGAAATTTTCATGTATCTACAGTAATTCGTTTTTGAATTAAAACAAAATAAGGAAATCGCCACATGAGAAATCGAGTGAATATCCAATGTTGTAAAAATTTGAATTTCAAACGCTCATAAAAATTTAATTTGACTTTATTTTGGAATTTTTTTTTTTTTGATAAATGTAGGAAATCTTATAAGGAATCTTGTATTACATTTTCATATCTTAGATTTAAAAAGAAAAATTTTTACGAATTCTTAACTCAAAATAATTTGCTAATTTTCGTGATTTTTCCATATTTTGTCAATTTTTGAACTTTAAATGCTTATAAATAAAAACTGTGACTAAGGATTTTTAATATTTTTCAAATGCCATTGTAACAATATAGTAGTAAGTAGGAGCCTTGTATTAAATTTTCAAGCTTTTTTTAACCAACAAATAAAACTGTATTGATATTTTTAGAAAAAAAACTAAAAAAAAATGGAAAATGAAAATGTCCCTAAACAGTTTAAAATAAATCAAAATATTTTTAAAATGTTATCGTGTATAGAAAATGCAAATATAAACAACCAGTGAAAATATCATGTACCTACGGTCGTCTGTTTTAAAATTACACCAAAAACCTAATTCAATTTTGTGAAAAATCGATTTTGCTGAAAAATTAACGTTTTTCCTTAATTGTTCTTTTGTTTTTCTTGGCGCTTTTGAAAGTTACTGGGTATTATAAATTTTGACCTCCCCAATGCAATAACAATATTCACTTTCCAATGGAACAAGATACTAAAGTTGAAAATCGAAGCATTATTTCGACTATTTATCGTGTACCTACAAAGACACAAAAAAAAATAACACAAACGTCATTGTAAAATCATTACATTCATCGTTCCACTCAGAATCTAAAATGATTTTTTAACTTTTATAGCTAAGGTTTGAAAACAATATTCCACGTAAGTAGGTTAATCTGTAACCAAAATATCTAAAACATAATATTTTTCTTATACCTAGTTATTTTATGTTCAAGTTGGACGAAAATAGATATTTAAACGAAAAAGAACGATTTTAGTTCATGTTATAGGTACCTATTTTAAAAATATTATTTGTGGTTAATTGAAAGGTCTAAAAGTAGTATATATTTGCCAATCCTGGGACAACTCGTCCTCGTCCTCGTCGTTTGCTCGTCGTTTGCTCGTCCTATTGTGTTCATCATCAGGTGTTTTTTTATTTACGCACGCGCCTCCACCCGATTCTCGTCGGCAACGTAGCCGATGTTTTTTATTTACGCACGCGCCTCCACCCGATTCTCGTCGGCAACGTAGCCGATGTTTTTTATTTATGCACGCGCATTCACTCGTCAATGCGGACTGGACAGTATCGTCATCCCTTACTATTGTTATGTACTACCATGTATACAAAAGATTCTTACGTACCTGTACAAAGTGAAGACCACCTACATAGAGTATACACCTGCGTATAGAATATGGCATGGAATTTTCATCAGTTTGTTATAAGTTTGTGACATACAACCACGTTCAATATTTCACTCGGTTTATTTCAGCAAGAATAAAATGTGAGTTTTGATTTTCTGTACTATATTTTAATTATTTATAGAATTGTGTGTGTACTGGGTTTAGATGTCTAATTCATCACAAAGTGACGGTGAAGATTTTAATGGACGTCTGAATCAACTGCGTGAACAAAACGTGAATAATTATGCTGCACTGCGTATTCTTTGGACACAATCATCACCAAGTATATCACCGGATAATAGTAACGATAGACGTTTGGATCAGCCGATGGATCAAAATCCGGAATACTACCCGGATGCACAGCCCCTTGAACTATTAATAGAGGGTTATAACAACAGTCTCAGAAATCGCGCCCTGGTAAGTTTATATTTTTTAAAAGAACGAAACATAAAATACAAATCCCAATATTATTTAGAACCGAACTGGAGATAGCGGCTATTTAACACGTCCGGAGTCACCCATAATATTGATGGATAATTGGGAACGATATTTTCCGAGCCCAATTTATGAACCTTCGTTAACTCAAAATACACCGCCACAAAATACACCGCCGTCGTCGCCGCAGGACAATGAAATATCATGTCAAGATTTATTTCCAGAACTTGAAGCATCGTCATCTATAGATTCGCCGAATATGTTAATTCCCCATGCGCCTATAAGATCACACACGACGCAGTCTTCATGCCAGCCATCGGTCGAAATGGATTGGAGTGATGACGGAAATAACGAGCAACTCAATAGACTTATGGACAAGTATGAGGGGTGGGGTAGTGATTATGATGAAATAAATGAGTTGTTTTTAAAAAAGCATAATAAATAATTTTTTACTACTTTTTACTACTATTTTTTTTTTTACTTGAATTATTATTTTAAACTTTCTGTATATAAATATTGTAAACTCTCTGTATATTTTAGGAATGTCTATTGTTAAAGCCTTAAAGGTGCAGGGAGTAAACACGGTGGGTGGTTTTCACTTTGCATATAATATACATAACAATCTTTTGTATGTGTGACGGTAACCGTTGGTCAAAGAAAATGCATGATTCCACTACAGGTGGACGTCCGTATCCCTTCTTAGTAACATACCCCCTCTTAGGGTACAAAATAATTTAGGTCAAATGGTGTGTTGCACCGATCAGTGTTAAGCATTTTGTCCGTCATACAGACACGTACATTTGAGCGGCTACCACCGTTTATCACTTATACCGATTTTAACAAGTTGTAATATATATTAACTAACAAAATGTTTAAATGCAATCAGTGCCCGTCTGAATTTGATCGTAAATACAATTTGCTTAGACATCACAAAACACACAAAGGTATACGATTTACCTGTACTGAGTGTACACGTACATTTACGGACAGGTCTAACTTGAGACGCCATTTAAAATTAATTCATGGTATGTAGTTATTATCCTGTTACATAATTGTTTATTTAATATTAATTTACTTAACAAGGAATTCAATTTGCCTCGACTTGTCGTGGAGGTAATGATGTCGATCTTACCCAGCAAGTCGTCGTTCAACCAATACATGCCCGTAGTGATCAGGTAGAGATTTCACCACAAATATTTGTACCAGATTTACCAGCAGGACCATCACACCAACAAGATGACTATCTGAGACCTGATAACAAGTCTAACGAATGGTATGATGACGGATATGATGAGCTGTTTACCATGATCGACAACGATAATTTACAAGGTAATCGTTTTTATGAAAAATGAATTCGTATGAAGTATAAAGCCGAGCTTTATAACGGACTGATAGATTTTTATTTTTTTTCTTATTAGGAAAACGTAAATATACCGAAAATTCTTTACCGAATGTACAAAATAAACGTGCACGAATGAACGCAACAACATCATCGAAATTCGTCAAAACAAAGTCCGCGTTTAAGGGGCTTTGTACCGAATATTTTAAAAAAAATATTGCCAATATTAAAGATGCCATAGAATTTTTAGAAATTTCAAAGCCCGAAATAGTTGAAATAATTGACGGTGCACTTCGCCAGTCGCCGATTAAATACAATATAAAACTGGAGGCTACATACATTAAACCTCACACGGACATAAAAGAAAATCGTGCATTTAAAACCAGGGCAAGGCCAATATTTAACGACTATAATATAAATGAAATGTTAGAAATGGATTTTGTCACTATACTTAAAGAACAGGAAATAATGGCGCTTAAAGGCAGCGGATTTACATTAGATAGTATAGACGGTCTAATATTAAATATAAACCAACATACTCCTTTAGGAGGTGCGTCATATATGCCATTACCGGAATTCATCGAAAATAAAAAAGCAACCATAAATGTGCAAAATGACGATAACAAGTGTTTTAAATATAGCATATTAGCGAAACACGTACATCCTGTGCATGCCGAAAGAATAGGACGTAATTATGCAGAAGTAGAACATATCTACGATTTTTCCAAAATAAATTTCCCCGTAACAATGAAAGATATCGACAAATTTGAAAAAATAAATAATGTGTCGGTAAATGTATATAGCATAAAACAAGGCGATCCTACACATAAAAATAATGTAAAAAATATTTCTAAAAGAAAAATGGTTCAAAAAAAATTATCTAACTATACGATATACCCCGTAAAAGTTTGTGAAGTCGAAAGAACTGACCACCATGATTTATTGTTATTTGGAGACGGCTCGGGTAACGAGCATTACTGTCGAATAATAAATCTATCTAAATTAGTTGGTTCACAAATGTCACAAAACGGTCACGTTGTGTTAATATGTAAGCGCTGTTTCAAGTCATACTTTGGAATTAATCGCCGTGGAGTTAGTGCGGAACAGCGACTTAAAGATCACAAACTGAATTGCAACAAAAATAAGCCGCTACTACCAGTACTTCCAAGTCCAAACACTTTTATGAAATTTGAAAATTTTAATCGCACACGGAAGCATCCATTTGCCATATATGCTGACTTTGAGGCAATTTTAGAAAAAAACGATGAAGAAAATATTAATTATAAAAATACTCGAATTATTCACCATCATGATGTGATGAGCTATTGTTACTATGTGAAACCAAACGACGATATACCTACGGAGTTGTTGGAAAAATATGGCATAGAGACAGAAGCAATTATTTTTAGAGGAAATTCGAGTATGGGGAAAGGCGACGTAGCCAAAAAGTTTATGGAAGAAATTGTCAAAGTTGCACTTAAGATAGAAAATATATTAAACACAAACGTACCGATTAAAATGACTGAAGACGAAAAAAAATTACATCGAGAAATCGCAGACCGAGGAACATGTCCGTTATGTAAATCAAAATTTAATAATAATAATAATTTACCTGTTAGGGATCATGACCATTTGACTGGAAAATACAGAGGTACTGTTTGCAGCAAATGTAATTTGCAAATGGTGAAACCTAACTTTGTTCCTATTTTTTTCCATAATCTATCAGGTTATGACTCTCATTTTTTGGTATTGCAGTTAGGATTTGATACAAAATCTATTAATGTAATACCAAACACTGAAGAAAAATTTATCTCTTTTACGAAATACGTTTCAAACACTTTTCAAATTCGTTTTGTCGACACTTTCCGATTTATGGCAACGAGCTTGGAAAAACTTGTAATAAATTTATCTAAAGGAGATAAATTAAAATTCAGGGAGACAGGTAAAATATTTAATAGCACTGATATGGATCTAGTAACAAGGAAAGGGGTCTACCCTTATGAATATACGGACGGGTGGGAAAAATTAGACGAGAATTGTCTGCCGAGAAAAGAAGATTTTTATAATACATTAACCGAAACGGATTTAAGTGACGAAGATTATGAATATGCAAAAAGAGTATGGAATCATTTCAACTTTAATAGCTTAGGTGAATATAGTGACTGGTATATGAAAGTTGATGTTATGCTTCTTTGCGACGTTTTTGAAAACTTTAGAGATTTATGTTTGGACACGTATGGCTTGGACCCGAATTATTATTATACCGCACCTGGGATGTCTTTTGACTGTATGCTGAAATACACCGAAGTTCAATTAGAGCTTTTGTCTGATTATGACCAATTATTAATGATGGAAGCCGGAGTCCGCGGTGGACTTACACAAGCGAGCATGCGATATGCTCAAGCGAACAATAGCAAGGTTCCAGACTACGATCCCTCAATGCCTAACTCATGGATCGCATACTTGGACGCAACAAATCTGTGGGTATCATAATATGTAATAATAATAATTTATTAATTTTGTATTATTTTTTTAGTTACGGCTGGGCAATGAGTCAATTTTTACCGAAGGACGGGTTTTCATGGTATGAAGGAGATCTAAGCGTCAAAAACATTTTAAAATTGTTGGAAAATTTAAACGAAACGTCAGAGATAGGATATTCGTTAGAAGTCGACATTTCATATCCTAAATCATTACATGACGCTCATAATGATTTACCTTACCTTCCAGAGAGGGTAATCCCTCCTGGATCGAAAATAAAAAAACTCGTGGCCAATTTGAACCCTAAAAAACACTACGTTGTGCATTACATGGCATTAAAACAAGCTCTGAAAGCTGGTTTAATATTGGAAAAGGTAACAATTTAGTTATTATAGTATTTATTATAATTGAATGTTATTATAATTTAATAGGTACATAGAGTTTTTAAATTTAATCAATCAGCATGGCTCTCAAAGTATATTGAATTGAACACCAATATGAGAAAGAACGCAAGGAATGATTTCGAAAGAGAGTTCTTCAAATTAATGAACAATGCAGTCTTTGGTAAGTTTATTTTAAAACTTTAAAACTTTAAAACTTTCAAACTTTTTTTTTAATTCTTCAGGCAAGACGATGGAAAATGTTCGTAATAGATTGAAAATGCAATTGGTGTCTGATGATAAGACGTGCGCAAAATTAATTAACCGAAATACATTTAGAGATATTACAATTTATAGTCAAAACCTGGCGGCAGTACATTTAGATATGGATGAATTGAAATTTGATAAGCCAATATATGTAGGGTTTTCGATTTTGGATATATCAAAGACGTTAATTTATGATTTTCACTACAACTATATGATTAAGAGTTATGGTTCAAACATTGAATTGATGTATACAGATACAGGTACTATATATATTTATATTGTTTTCATGCTTATATACTAATATGCACTTTTTTCAGATTCATTGATATATTACATAAAGACAGAAGATTTCTACGCTGATTTATTAAACAAGCCCAATCTTTTAAAACGGATGGATACTTCGAATTTACCGATCGACCATCCATGCTATTGTATTGAGAGGAAAAAGCTGCCTGGAACTTTTACTGATGAGGCGGAGGGCGAAGTTATTAGTGAATTTATAGCTTTAAAAGCTAAGTCATATTCTTACAAGATCGTTGGTAAGACTGACATAATCAAAGCCAAAGGTATCCGACAACCTGTAGTGAAGTATCATATGACGTTTGAGGATCATAAGAAATGTTTGTTTTGGCGTGGTACACCGGATGATGAAGATATAACACGAAAATTAGCAGTTATGCAATCTAAACAGTTTAAATTAACAGGAATCACTGCAACAACAAATCAATATACACCATTTAGAGTAAATACATCGCTTAGATCTTTCAAACATGAAATAAAAACTATCTCAACAGTAAAGCTTGCTTTTAACCGCAATGATGATAAAAGGGTTGTGCTCGAGAATCAAATTAATACCTTGGCTCACGGTCACTTTCGTATAGAGTGAGTTGAACGAATAAAGATTAATTTTATTTTACTAATAATACTATGTAATTTTTGCAGGGAAGCTGAAGAACTTGATCATTTAGAAGCAGAGTT